ATATATATATATATATATATATATATGTGTGTGTGTGTGTGTGTGTGTGTGTGTGTGTGTGTGTGTGTGTGTGTGTGTGTGTGTAAAAAATATTACATCATTTTTTTAACTACTGATATGTGCTGAATGTACAGGCCTTCTCTGAAGGCTTTGAAGGCCCTGAGGGTTCCCCACTTCAATAATGTAAAGGCCTGCACCCAGTGGCAGAGCATCGTCGCTCCTACAGCCTCTCCTGGACTTGATGCCACAGCTGGTTTACATGATGCTGATGACAGGTTTATCAGAACAGATATTAAGACTATTAAAACCACGAGAAGACCCAGGACCAGGAACACCTTGTTGTCCTCCCAGAGGAGCAGGAAGAGGTGGCTGTGTAGAGATATGTCTGCACCTCCCCGTTCAAGCTGCTGCCCCAGAGACCTGAGTCCAGAAGGAGCGGCAGAATATGGACGGATGGATGAAACTACGATATCGCACATGGTAAATTTTTCTAATTTCACGCAGTTCTAATCAACAGATTTTGGCTTTGCGGCAGTAAAACATCACATTATAGCTTTGATCCATCTGCAGACAGATAAATCGGCCGAAGCCTCAAAAATCACCTTGAGAACGTCCGTGGGATTGGCCAGGGTGGAGGACAGAACTCCAGAAACGACCCCGCAGAAGACATTGATGACCATTGTCTCATCTGTCAAAAACACACACAGACAAAAATGTAAAGAGTCAAACCAGCTGAGGGTGTCAGAGTGTAAGAAGTGCTGGAAATATTAAGTTCAATACGGACGTGAAACTAAAATCAGACAAATATTTCAATTACAGCTTCCAGTAAACCTTGTCGGACTTGATTTGCATCGTACTCTGACGGTTAATAATAAAAGCAGACGGAGACACACAGCTGCCGTTTTAAACGTCCTGAGTCTCAGAAACAGCCTGGTGTCAGTTATTTATGAACGAAGGCAGCAAAGTCTCATTCTATGTCAACTCAAGTCACTTAACGTCTAAATGAACCCAAAACAAGCTTCCATCTTTGACTTGTGGCTTAATACAGATCATTTTACACATACTCCACTTATTGTTACCATACAGCCTGCTTGTGTCCCGAGTGATGAGCAGGCTGCTCTAAAACGCAGCTCGTGTGTTTCTGCTCACGAATCATCACATTTCTGTCGGCCTGATGTGTGGAGGCAGCCTGACTCATCCTTCATTCTCCCTCTTTTGTTGTTTCCACTCTTCTCCTCCACAAGCTCTTCACTTCTCATTTCCCTTGCAAATCACTGTAGGCTGGTTAATGTACTCCCTCTGCTTCGTGGTTTAAAAAACGAAACGATGATGAGTCAAAGATTGTGCCGAGAATAAAACTATTTAATAAAAACATCCTGAAAACAACCGGTGCAGCAATAAACTGCACAGAACCATCAACGTGACAGACGGTGAGTTAAAACAACAGCTGGATCAGTTGAGACTCAACAAAGAGACGACCTTCTCTCCAGAAACTGAATCCCTGACCCCAACCACTTTGGAGTTGATGGGGGAGAGGGCGGGCCCCGGCGGCCATCTTAGCACCAGCAACCCCCCCCCCATAACTATGCAGTGCTGTTTGTGGGAATCAGTTCTGTTTGTTGGAGGCTCCTCAGATCGAAGAAGTCTTTTGGATGAAGGACGAAACATGTCAGCAAAAATAGAAACCGTCCAGGTGACCTGACTGAACATCGCTGGTTTCTACCTGGATTATTGAGCGTGAACGTTGGTACCTGATCCCAACGACTGATGTGTTGTCCAAGTGCTTCCTGAATGTAGTTTCCTCTTCAACATTTTCAGTTAAATTTCAGAGACTTGTCTTAGAAGCTCACACAAAACACAGTTAACCACATTTTTAAACAATTCAAAGGTTATGTCAAAACTTCAAGAAAAACTGTCCTCTGTCCTCACTCCAACTACGTCCATGTCCTCTGTAACTGCATCCATGTATCTCCTCTTTGGCTTTTTCCTTAGAAAAAAAAAGTTAGAAGCATTTCTAACATCCTTCTACCAATATACCCACTGTCCCTCCTCTGGACGTGTCCAAACCACTGTCCCTCCTCTGGACATGTCCAAACACTGTCCCTCCTCTGGACGCGTCCAAACCACTGTCCCTCCTCTGGACGTGTCCAAACCACTGTCCCTCCTCTGGACATGTCCAAACACTGTCCCTCCTCTGGACATGTCCAAAACATCTCAGTGTGTCCTCTCTAACTTTATCTCCCAGTTGTTCAACCTGTGCTGTACCTCTGATGATCTCCTTCCTGGTCTTCTCCATCCTTGTCTCTCCTAAGGAGAACCTCAACATCTTCATTTCTGCCACTTCCAGTTCTGTCTCCTGTCTTTTTGTCCATGTCTCTGTCTCCAGACCAGACAACATAGCTGCTCTCACCACTGTCTTGTAAACTTTTACTTTGACCTTTGCTGACACCCTTTGATCACAAATCACTCCTGAAACAAGCAACCACCAGGACACAAAAAGTGTTTTTAAAGTGCGGCCCACCTTCCGGGCGGCTGACAAACAGCCTCTTCAGAGAGTTGTAGGTTCCAATCTTGATTGTTCCATACGATGCTTGTCTCAGAAGCGCCGGAGAAATGCTGTGCAGACGAGTGAAGTAAGTCAGGAGCAGAAACAAATACATGACGAGTTAAATGAAACATATACCTGTCGTTCCTCAAACCTGCAGTTTGGTTTGAGCTAAACTAAACCATCTAAAAAGTCTAAGTTGCTCTGGTTACAAAACTCAATGTTTCTTGTGTTGGTCACAGAAAAAGAGCAATATGTTGTAAAATAAAAACACTAAAACAAACAAGAATCCTCTAAAAGCCTCTGGAGGTAAAACGTTAAATGGACTGTCCCAGTTTTATCTTTTTAATTTAATACTGAATCTAATTTTTAAACCAGTTAGTTTAAAGCTAATATCCTGGTAAAATAAAATAAAACACCACAAGAGCTGTGCATTAAAGGGATAGTTCAACAGTTTTGAAGTAGGGTTGTGTGGAAAAGCTTTAAGCAACAACAACAAAAATGTCCTGCTGTAAAAATCTGTAAATCGAGTAAAAACTGATAAAGTGAATAAAAACTGATTACAGGCAGAATGTGAGCCAAACTTCCTGTTTCATACCCAGAGTAGAGCGCTCGGATCCCCTCCTCCCTGCCGATCCTGAAGAGGGCGTGAAACATGCCCTTGTAGCGAACCTCCATGTACTGGGACTGACCCTGGACCTGCAGCCGGGTCTTGGTCAAGTCAATGGGGAACGTCCCTGAGATCAAAGTTAATGTCAAAAATTATTTTAAATGTTTGTACCAACAGTGACAGAAGTTTACCATGTTGTGATGCTTCCACTTTAAACAGACGTGTAATTAAGTTAAAGCAGAGTCAAAAACATCCAGCAGTTTCAGTCAGACAACCGAAGGCTTGCCTTGTGAGAAAAAACAGCCGATACCATCAGACAGATGCAAACTGAGTCCAACTGCCACTCTACTGTCCAGTTTGTCTGTACACATTTTATATTAAAAAAATGAATAAGCTAAAAACATTCAGAAATATGATATATAAATTCAACAAAAGAGGACCAAGAATTGACCCCTGTAGAACTCCATGTGCAACGCTGACTTTAAGTCATGGTTACCAAGAGGATACTGTCACAGATATCTTTTTGTTTGTTTGTGCTTTACACCGACACCTGTTGGTGCAAGTTGCTTCCTAATGGTGGTTTTCTTGACAGAACAACTTCTGCCCCTTCAAAGAGAAAAGAAGTTAAAACTGAAAAACAAGTAACTCAGCCTACCCAGCATCTTTCTGCCATTGTAGTTTATTTTGAAAGGATTATAAAATGGAAACTACGGTCAGCGGTGCTCAGCTTTACTGCCAGAACATGGACAAGCCTCTTCAGGTGGGTCCATTGGACCAGTGAAAACGCAAGAAAATGAAGCTCCCTGGCTAGCAGGAGAAACAGCAGGACACGTCTCTGTACCCGAAGCCTAGGTTCCATCAAAAGAGGTTCAGTCTCAGAACTCATGGCGAAGATTTGCATTTTTTCTGCTTTTTAAACAGTTTGTTGTTGAGCAAACACTTGTGCTACGTTAATCAGCACGGCATGAGTAAGGGAACCGAATAATTTTGGGGCAAATTATTATTATTTTTTACTGTTAAGTTAAAAAGTGCCTCATCAGAAGATTGTAGCGAGGTCCCTCTAACACTTCAGCGTCCAGCTGGAGGTGCAAGATATCATGATTGGGAGTTTTATGGAGCAGAAACAGGACCTGATCTGGCATGGCCTTCCTGCAAAGTCTATTTCTGGGTCCAGCTCGCTTCTTAAAAATAGCCCCAACTTTTCACCAGCAAAGGCAAAGTAATTAGAACAGGGGGCTTTCTGAAAAACACTGTCAATGGCCACGTACCGGTGGTCTTGTGATTTTAACTGTGCACATCCTCTGTTGCAGAATCATTCATACAATCTGCTCCAGATAGCTTTAATATTAATTCAGCTGCATGCATCAGCTCCCTCCTGGAAGCAGAGTTCCCACCACTCAGCAGATGCTGCACTTTAGTGTTTTGATGGATGCAGATTTCATAAATTACACACACATTTCTGATAACACAAATATGAGTTGGCACGAACAAAACAAGTCCTCACAGTGTGCTAATATCCCCAAGAACTACATATTGTTCAGAGTCTGTGTATTTGGTGCATCACGTACCGAATTCTGCGACAATCGAGGCCATCCCTCCGTAGATGAACGGCTTCCAGTTCATGTTGGTTACCTCCGTGTCGGCGGCGGCGGCTGCTTCCACCTGCTGCAGCCCCGCTATGAACAAGAACAGGCCCAGACAGAGGTCAACACAATGCTGCAACCTCTGACAGGACAGCATGTCGGCAAACATTGAGCTCCGGTGATGCTACAGATCTACAAGCTTCCTCAGCATCAGCATCTCCCAGCTCACTGCGCCGGAAAAAGACGACCGCTACAGGCGAATACCGCAAGGAGAGCCGTCACTTTGGATACGGGCTTCCCATTGGCTGCGAGATATGGCAATCAAACTTTGCAGCGATCCTATTGGCTGGGAGGAGTCAGCGTTTGTGACGGTGGCAACCGTGTCACGAGACAGAAGCTATTTATCATTAAAGTCACTTAACATGACCGATACCCGGCTTTTACTTACAGAATGGAAGCCTTTAAGGAGTTTATATTGTTTCAATTAAATAAAACTGTGTATTTTAATAGACTTAAACTGATGTCTCAACATTTTGGATTGCTAAACAGTGTATGAGATGAATAGCTACTTCTGGAAACAACTAGCCCGCTAGTTAGCAGCGAGGTTACCGGTTGGCGGTTCATCACCGGCACTTTAAAACAAATTATAACCTACCCCTCGGGTTTAGAAGGTCCTCAGCTTGTTATTTATCTTTATTTTCCGTGACTCTGTGCATAACTGTGCGCTGACGTTAATAGATTGTGAGCGGGAAACTTCACCTCTGCTGTTAGCTTCGCATCTCGGCTAAGGTCAAGCTAGCTATGACGCGTTGCAAAACGTAAACTTCCGTTCGGACTTTCAAAGTAAGACTTCCTGTTCATAAACAAAACGAAAGAAAGGACATGGGGTCAGATTGTTTTAGACATTTTATTGAGGAGAAAAAAGTAATTTTAAATAGTTTAAGCTGGGAAAAAATGTGGTCACATATGTAAAAGATTATACAAAACCAGCATATTGTATATGATTTTCAATTTTGTCTTTTTTGATAAATGAACAATGTTGTGCAATTTAAAAAAAAAAAATCAACAAATTATGTGTTCACCTCTAAAGTAAAAAAGTTTTTCTTGAGTCACTATTTTACATTTTTCAGTTAGGCTAGTCTGGACAATCCTGCATCCTTTGCTTTTTGTCTTACATGTCTTTTCTCACATTCCTCCACATTCCTGTTCTTCTGGTAACATTTGAGTTCATTTAGACATTTATTTTGTTAGTTTACACTAAAGTGTCAGACTAGTCACAAGGTACTGTCAGATAAAATAAAAAAATCAGATTTTTGTTTGAAATATTCACCTTACAGCGACAGTCACAAAAATGTTGAATTTCAAACAATTTTTGGGGTTTCTGAAGTAATATTCAATTAACTCACAACTCGTTTAGAAAACTTCAACTGTTTTAACTTTCAATAGTAGAAAAATAGACTTATTTACTCTTTCTTGTTAAATATAATAAGAGATCAGCAGAGGTGAACACTGACGGGGCAAAGAAAAAAAAAACATCAAAAATGTTTAATTGTTCCTCTTTTTTTTCTTCTTCTCTTCTTCGGGGTGTTTGTTCTCCTGGGTGGCATGTCTAGTTACAGTCTGAGTGAGAGAGAAGGTCAGGGGTCATTCGTCCAAACAGGAAGTGATGACAAATCAGAGTGTGGTTCTAAACATCCGAATAACTCGCTGGTACAGATGTTGGACAATAGACGCGAGATTTCTGAAAGATGAAAAGTAACAGCTCTCAAATTGTTTTACATAACGATCAAAAACAGCTCTGTTATTCTTTTCTTTAGTTTTTTATTTAGGCTTACAAAAAGTGAGGAACAGCTGTCATTTTAGTTTGATTTAATGTGTCAATCAATGAGGCATCATCATTAACCTCACATTACATTAATAACATCTGTTTTAAGTGAAGCTCCCTTTTGTCCAATTTAAAAACGGGCCTCAAAGGTGACATGAAGATTTGCTCAAATCTTTCAGTTTACTTCAAGTTGTTGACTTGTTCATTTCCTCCACTTGAGTCGAGCGCTCTTAGACAACAAAACAAAAAGTTTGTGTTCTTATAACAGGCCCAGATCACAATAATTTCAAAGCTAACTAAATGTAGCACAAAAAGTCTGGGAATTTGTGTTTGGTCTCTTTGGTTTGGGTTTGGAGTTATTTTCTTGTATCAAAATGCCTCGGCAGTAAAACCCATGCGGTTAGAAAATCTGTTTTTACTTTGAAATGGTGCCATGTTGAAGGAAAATACATTTGTGCGTTGAGTTGTCTTTGAAAGCTACTGGCTCTTGTTTTGAGCTGCCTCAGGTGACCATCAGGTGTCGGACTGGTACCAGATAGATATCCCATCTCTCCAGAGAACTCTGTCCTCCAACATAGATGCTCGGCCCCACAGAGCGAGACTTATCAGAGATGGAGGACCTGCCTGCCGTGCTGACCTCAACCTGTGGGGCCTGCTGTTGGTGACCAACACCACCGCACTGGTTGCCTCAGGACCAGTGCTGGTTGAAGAATGGGACACCGTCCCACAGCAGTGTGTGACCAAGCTGCTGAGCAGCATGAGGAGGAGCTGCCACACTGTTGTGGCTGTGTATGGTTCTTCCACATGCTACTGAGGTACGTATTTATTAAACTAATAAATTGCCAGAATGTCTCGGTTTATCAGACTCGGTTCATCCAGCGCAGTGGAAACCAAACAAGTCAATCTCTGCTGTTTGGCAGAATGAATCTGGGCGAGCCCCATTCAGCTCCGCTGCTCAACCCAAAGACGCATTTTTCTAACAAACTGGAACCATTTAAGGGTCAAAAACTTTCCTCTAATGGAATAAGATTCACTGTCACAACAAAAAATTATTAAGCAAACACAATTTTTCTTACGTTTTGTCCAAAGTTCAAATAATTTTATTTCAAAGTATTCCCTAAATCTCTCTCAGTGATTTGTCACACTTGGGTCTGTCACTGCTTGATTTAATAACAGGCAGGAACGCAGAGTAGAAAGGTAACCTCAATCAGTCGCTGTGTAAAAACGATACAGATTCTAAAAAATCTTGAACTATGAGCGCCAGAAGGCTCTGCTAGTGGTAATATCTGTAGGTGTTCCCCAAGGCTGTGGTCAGGGCCCCACTTTAAGTCTTAAAACCTGAATCTCTGATTGTGTTAAAACGGTTCAAGAAAAGAGCTCAGTCCAACTTTCTGTTGTTGTTGTTGTTGTTGTGTGTTAGTCACCGAGCTCCAGCAGAGAAGATGTTGCTGCGGTTCGGATGGAGGCAGAAGAGCGAGGCCACGCAGTAAACACAGCACAACAACAGAGACACCAGCCGGCGCTTGAGTGACATCTTCACCCTGACACGAAACAAACAGTGAGCTCAGTAAAAAGACCAAATGCTCAAAATGTTTTACCTTCTTCTACATTTTCACAGAACATTCTTATCCATGTTCAAGAGAACAGGCAGAGCGTTGCTCCTTTATTCTGAAACCAGATTGTTTCATTTGCCCTGTTGTGTAGAAACGTTCCCATCGTTACCTGAAGAATCCTGAAAACCTCTTTCCTCAGATCTTCTGAAGGTCTCGTCACTTTGGTTCTGCAGTTCTCCAGAATCTCCTTCAAACCCAATCCCAGGACCAGGTGGACCCACAGGAACCCCTCTGAGCTGGAGCAGGCTGGTGTCAGACAGTCCAGGCTTCCCGGGTGCTGCTGGGACGCAGGCACAATTAGTGCTGAGCCAGGCTTTGTGTTGAAAGGTCCTGAAAGGTCTAGCAGGGGGAGTGACGCCCCACATTGTGTGTCTGACCTGTTCAGGTTTATTTCAGAGGTGAGGGGGGTCATGAAAAGCAGATCTTTCCTCTCATGCTGCTCCCGTTGAGCCAATCAAAGCACTGAACCATCAGGTTTTATACACAACATGCTGCGGTTTTTGTTAGCAAAGAAATATGACTGAGGTTTGAAAGGACTTCCTGAAAACTACAGAAATAAACAACGTCAGTGTAAAAATGTGCTATAAAGATAATAATTATAATAATAATAATTAATAATAAGATGTAAAATCCTGAAACTTGCTCAGAAATAATCAGTTAAATTGACTTTTTACCACAAATCTGTTTAAATTTACCAGGTGCACACAGAACCTGCTACTTCACAAACTTCTAAAATAAAACGAGTGATTATTGGGCTTTTATTTTGGTAAATATGGCATGTCTTTCCAGTGACAGTTCATTTATGTAGAGTTTTGTTTTTTCTGGCACGTCCTTTTACTCTTGATCACCTGGTTGTCTGCAGCTGTGTGACCTGTGCAGGTTCAGAACTAAACAAGCAGTAGGTCGATGTCCGTCGTCTGAGGGTTTAGTGAACGTTTGTGGTTTGGTTTTGGACGGTCGGATCATGACCGACAGAACAAGCTTCGGATACAAGCAGCTGAAATGAGCCTCCCTCTCAGGGTGGCTGTGCTCAGAGACAGGGTGAGGAGCTCCGTCCGCCAAGTTGAGCCGCTGCTCCTCAGCATCAAAAGGAGTCAGCTGAGGTGGTTCATCTGATTAGGACGCCTCCCTTTGCAGGTGGCTCCTCCTGCTGGTAGGAGGCCCCGGGGAAGACCCAGAACTCTCTGGGGGGGACTGTTTTCTGACCTGGGAACACCTCGGGGTCTCCCAGGAGGAGCTGGAAACTGTCGCTGGGGAGAGGGAGGTCTGGTTTCTGTCCTGGACCTGTTACCTCCTTTGACTACAGTTGTTGGTGCAAGATGTTCCAGTGGGGAGGAGTTACACTGTGGACAAGAACAGAGGGAGGTGTTTGTTTGTTTGTTTGTTTGTTTGTTTGTTTGTTTTTTGTCTGAAGCAGCACAAAGTGACGGATCCTGGCGAGTGGAGGGAGCAGTTTTTTTCACCACCAGGTGCAGTGGAGGAGCCGGGGGGTGGCCAGTGGTGGCCTTGGCCTCCATAGATTGGTCTTCGGCCACCTCAGTCATTTGAAGAAACTGAACTTTGCAGCAAAATAAAAAACTAGAAAGCAAAGTTTCCTCAAATAACAGGTGTGGCCAGTTTATATGTAAATGGTGGCAGCCATCTTGGATTTCGACACGTTAACCTAATGTTTGATGGGACCGTTCTTACGACTACATGAAGCCACACACCAGAACAGAAGTTCACATGTGTATATACAATTTGGGCGGCAGCCATCTTGGATTCTAACATGGCAACCCGATTTTTGAAAGGATGCTTTCTCACGCCTACACGTCGTCACACCTCATTTAGTTTTCAAGTTGTGCACACAACGTGCACGGATGGATGGCAGATATTTCCCGTTCCCCTCTTCGCTCTGCGGCGGGAGATGAAAAGTATTTGCATCACCTGCTGCCACCTGTTGTGACACTTTTCATCTTACATCATCTTTTGTTGAGAAATGAGAGATTTGTTTGGTGAAACCTTGAAAAAAACATCATATGCAATTTATTAGCACTTAAGTTGTTATTTTACTTTTACACATATTTAAAGTTGTATTTTTGTTTTTAGTTAAAAGAACAATTTCCTGTATGAAAGTATGACATAAGTTGCATAAAATAAAAACGTGTAGGTTTATTTTGTCTTAAAGTCTTAAAACTTTGGACTCCGTGCATGTTAGAAAAGAGATTTTCATCTTTTATAAAATATGTTACAAACAAAACACGACTCTCTGAGTCTGAGTGTAAATAATTAACCTGAACTAAACATTCATTGGATGATATGAAGCAGGAGAGCAACAGGCTGCAGATGTTTATGAGTCAAGTTAAAGTGTAACCTGTTCACATGATGGGACCAGTTTCCACCAGGATTCACGCAGATACTCGTGACTAATGGCGCTGCCTCCGTGCACGAGCTGCCGCCAGCCTGCAGCTGCAGCAGAGAACCAAACGCTGAGCAAGGACACGAGCTGGGCTTGGCCCAGAAACAGGTTTTTAAAAGGCACAGAGGTAAAAGGTCTGTGTGTTCATACGTCTGTTAGCAAAACATCTCATGAACCGCGGGATTTTTAATTTTTTTTTTAACAAAACACTCAGAAATTCATTTAAAACAGTTCTGGATGACCTGATTCAAGCTGACTGACTGCAGCAAACACTAAAATGGCAACAACTCAAGCATTTGAACAGATATTGAATGATAAGTTGATGTAGAAGTAGCTGAGAGTCATCCACGTTACATACTCTGAGCTCCGGCTGATCTTTGCAAGGTGACAGATGATATGTTCAAATCAAGCTCGGCCCGGGAGGTCCAGACTTTTACTTCCTGGGTGCAGCCCTCAGCCTGCAGCAGCTGCTTCGTCCTGACTCATTAACACTTTCTGCAGCAGCTGGTTGAAAAGTGGAGCTGTTCGTCCATCGGGAACGATAAATCAACCAGAACCTGGAGGAAGATCCTCAACTCAAGAGTAAAAACCAAACTGCCCATCAGAGTCCACCGTGCTGATCTTTATTAAACTAAACCAAGAGGAAAACTGCTGCTTCTACAGGAGCTCAGAGAGTCTACTGTTTCAGCAAATTCACCCTGAAGGTCAGACCGTGCAGTGCTCAGAGAAATGAGCTCCATCTCAGATTTTACAGACTTCACTCAACAGGTCAAAGGTCATGACCTCTTCTCTTTAAAAACAACACGATAGCTCAACTTGGGGTTAAGAAGTTTCATCTGAAGGAAGCACAAGACTTCTGGACCAGAACCAGAGCAGAGGACAGATGTTTACCCAGAATGCACTGCAGCAAACTGCTCCTCCCAGCTGTCAGCACGGTGGTGGAGGCTGATGGTTTGGGCTCCTTCAGTCACTGAGTGGACCAGAATGCCTCTGGAGAACAAAGGGTTCTGGAGTCCAACAGATGAATCTTGGGCCAAACTGGGTCCAACAGGACCATGATCCAAACACAGCAGCTGATCTACAACAGTACGGGTCAAGAAGAACAGAACCAAGATGCTGCACCGGTCCAGTCAGAGTCCAGAACCTGAACCTGACTGAAACACTGTGGACCTTCAGAGAGCTGAGCACAGCCCATTGATGGAAAGAAGAGTGGGCCAGAACTTCACCAGAACCAGGAGAGACTGGTACAGAAACCCACTGAGGGTTCTGCTGCTGAAGCAGGTTCTGCTGGATCAGCTGGACCTAATGACGTGGTGGACTCTTGTGTTCTGTTGTCCACTTCAGGTTCAACTTTATTCATTTTAGAGCCTGAAGATCATTTTTATTATGTTCCAAAACTCAGAAGTCGATAACTGAAAGTCTTTTTTTCCAGTTATCAGTAAAAGCTGCATGATGTTGGGCCGGTCCGGCCAAATGAAATCGGTGTTGCGACGCCCTCAGTCCTGGCACAGATCCAGCAGGCGGAGGTCGAGGCTCACAGAGAAGACGCATCGTTAACGGTCAGACGGTGAAGGGGAGTGTTTCTGCGCCTGGAGCCTCTGAGAGCAGAGGAGCAGAAGGAGGAGCAGCTCAGAACTCTTCATGGTGTTTGAGCAGAAGGAGGAGCAGCTCAGAACTCCTCATGGTGTTTACTGAACGGATCTCAGTTGCCCCGGTCTTTTCACTGATTTCTACTGGATCTTTTAAGAAAAAGTGGATGTTTTGGGATCAGTCGTCGTGGAAACATGGAAGCTACAGCTCTGAACTGACAGGAAACTGAATCAAGCGCTTGTTTTCCTGCGATCTCTTGGAGTATTTAATGTTTTTAATTCAGCCCCGTGGCGCCTGAGCTCTCCAGGGATGTTTGATTTTTGTTTCTTTCTTAAGTTTCAGTCTGGATTTTGAAGATCTGCAGCCAGGATCCGAGCATAACAATGGTGACTCTTCTCAGCAGCAGGTTTACTTTGTGAGTTTGGTTCAAAGTTTAAAAGATGTCTTATGTGACTGGACCAACCGGCACGGAGCCTTCTTTGATTCTGACGTCTGAGAGCCCGGAGTGCAACCAGGTGAGCTCTCAGGGCGACCTGAGGGTGATGGGTCTGATCCTGAGCATGGCCGCCTGCCTCATCATCTCCACCAACCTCCTGGTGGCAGCTGCTCTGCTGAAGCTCCTCCTGAAGAGGAGCAGCCAGAGCTGGGCCTTGGTCCTGAACTTGGCCCTGGCGGACACCTTGCTGGGTGTCGGCGTCACCGGCCTGGCCGCAGAAGATTTCAACCACAACGCCATTCGGAGCCAGCTCGTCCTTCCTACAAACGCTTCAGCTCCGCAGGGGAAGAGCCGCTGTTTGCTGCGAATGGCCTTCGTGACGTCGCCTTGCATGGCGTCCATCTTGTCCATGTTCCTGATTTCCTTGGACCGATACGCCGCCATCAAGATGCCCCTGCGCTACTTCCTGCTGTCCAGGAAGGGGACCGCAGCCGGGTCTCTTGTGGTTCTGTGGGTCAGCTCCATCACTATGGGGTTTCTGCCAGGTGAGACTGGATGTGTTACCTTGGAGCGTGAAAAATGTCATGAAACACTGGGCGTAGGATGGGATGAACTTTTCATACCTGGACTGCGTTGAGGGGTTGGCAGGTATGATTTATAGAATAAGATTTTACCACATAAGATGGTTGTCTGATTAAACTGGCCTTTTCAATAGACATAATTAGCTTCATTGTTAATCAGTCCATGCCTCTCACTTGGTGCTGGAAGAGCTAGCTCAATATTCATGAAAAGCAGGACTACAGTCCCATCCTAACGGTGACTGTTGGAGACAAAAGGCCACGATCTCACTGCTCTGCAAGGTGACTATAAATGTCTCCAAACGCAGTGGAGGTTCTCAATTTCCTGTAAAGAGTTGCAGAAGCTTGGAGTCTTCTAATGCAAAATTATAAACACTTTTCTTCCCTCCATCCATCCATCTATCCATCCATCCATCCATCCATCCATCCATCC